TACTCACATGGGATATCAAAGATATTGTCCAATGATTTCCGCATTCCATTGGGTCACCTCTTTGGAATGGGCATAAATATGGATCTCTTCCAATCAGTCAGCCAGATAGTTGTCTTCCTAATTTCTTGGCAGAGATGAAGGAGTACCTCCTGTGCCACCTCACTTTCTTGAAAGGTTTCCATTTGTATTCCATCAATTCCTGGTGCCTTGTTCTTTGTCAATTCCTTCAATGCACCTTGGACTTCCTCTCTCAGTAAGCTATCCAAGAGTCAATGATACTGAAGGAATTACCTTTATAGATAATGGTTAATAAGATAGACAGTTAATGGTTAATGAGGTAGATAGATAGATAATGGTTAATAAGATAGTTAATGGTTAATGAGGTAGATTGATAGATAATGGTTAATAATATAGACAGTTAATGGTTAATGAGGTAGATAGATAGATAATGGTTAATAAGATAGACAGTTAATGGTTAATGAGGTAGATAGATAGATAATGGTTAATAAGATAGACAGTTTATGGTTAATGAGGTAGATAGATAGATAATGGTTAATAAGTGGATACATAGATAATGGAGTCTTGGCGTGGCACTGAGGGTTAATGCACTGGACTGAAAAGTTATTTGAACTACAAGGTTGGTGGTTCAACTTCACCAGCCACTCCTTGGAAACTGACTCGATGGCACTTAACAATAACAAAAACAACAGATAGATAATAGATGGAAGATTGAGAGATAGATAGATAATAAATAGAAGATAGATATATGGTTGCTAGATATATAGATTATTGATAGATGATAGATAAACAGATAGAAAGATAGATGATAGAAGAATGATGGATAGATGACAGATAGATAATGACAGAAGACCGTAGAAGAATTGATGCATTTGAGTTATGGTGCTGGAGGAGAATATTAAAAGTGCCATGGGCTGCCGAAAGAACCAACAGATCTTTGTTGGAAGAAGTGCAGCCAGAGTGCTCCTTAGAGGCCAAGATGGCGAAACTTCGACTCTCAAACTTCGGACATATTGTCAGGAAGGACCAGTCCCTGGGATGGGGTGGGGTGGGATTGACGGGGCCCAGTTGTCAAGGAGAGGGTGGTGGGGTGTGGTACGCACAGAGGTAGAGGTGAAACAGGAGCAGGTGTCCCAGCATCAGGAGGCTGATGAGATCTAACACCAGCACAGCCGCCCCAATGATAAGCAGCACAGGGGCCGTGGTCCTCACCGGGAAGAAGGGCAGGAAGAGCAGCCAGGTGTTCTCCTCTGTGATGTCTGCCAGAGACAGTGAGAGCACAGGGGGTGGGTGGCCAGCATGGCCCACAGGCCGAGCTCCAGGGATCCCCAGCCCAGGGATGCCCTCACAGCCCTGCAAACTACAGGGGGGAGTCGGTATTATGATTCCCACTCAGGGATCTGAACACTGCAGCTCGGAGAGGCTGGATGGACAACTGCCTCAGGTCTCAGAGCTAGAGAGCGTGGGAGACCAGAGCCAGCCAGCAGGGCACTCTGTGGAGCCCTAGCCCCAGTTCTGCATCTGTGTCTGCTCCAGGTTCCTCACCCCTTCTGGAGTTGCACCGCCAACCCCACCCCTCCTGGTCGATTCTCCAAGACACACATTGCCTCCCCTGTCACCTCAAACTCTCCCCATGGGACTGGTGTATCATGGCCAGGCTGCAACTGAAAGCGGGGGCTCCATGCAAACACACAGTGGGCAGAGAGTAGACAGGAGGGAGGGAAGAGGGTGATGGAGAATGGAGTGGATGGGGAGAGGGTAGGGAATGGAGTGATGGGGAGTGGATTGGGGGTGGAATGAATGGATTGGGTTGGAATGCGTGGAGAATGGATGGGAGTGGGCATGGAGTAGATGAAAAGTGGACAAGGAGTGGACTCTACTTCTTAGTGCAGACATACTTTGACAGGCTTAGCCTCAGAGCAGCCGCCCAGCTGAGCCACGTCCTGGGCACTAGGGAAGCTGCTGGAATGAGGCTTGAACATTTGCACTAGCCCAGTCACAGCCTGCTGGGGCAATTGGTGAGGATCCCAGGGTGTCCCTTTGGCCATGTCTACTTTCTGGTGGGAGCAAATTGGGAAGCCCAGCTCTGTTCTCAAGATGCAATCCCCGGACAGATGGCTGAACACTTGTCATCCCAGGCAGAAGCAATGTCAGGGCAGGGCCACACCGTACTTTCAAAGTGGGGGTCACTGCGGAGCTCCTCCTGGTCCATGATGTACTGGATGAAGATGTACAGCAGGACCGCCGCCAGACAGAAGAGGGCCAGCACTGCTGAGGCCACGGAGCTGAAAAAACACCTGTGACAAAGCCAGAAACAAGAGCTCTGAGTTGCGCCAAACTCCAGAGCAAACGCAAGTCTGACAGACCGAATGGTCCACATCCCTGATAGGAGTCCCCAGCAGAGACAGAGGCTGTAAGATGGAGTCTGGTCTTCGGGAAGAAGACTTGAAAGAGGAACGGGCACCCTGCTGCCACCCCCTGGCTCAAAATCGGTCATATTCCATGCTTTCTTCGTTCTCTCATTGCTATCTTGTGGCCATTTCCTAGATGTATGTCATTGACTTGAGATTACCATGAACTATACCTGTTAGGTTGCTGTCAGGGGGCACTGAGTCTCAGAAGGAAATACTGCCCCTCCTGTGCCATTGTTGCTGCCACTGTGCCAGTTCATCTCACTGGGGGTCTTCCTCTTTTCCGCTGACCCTCCCCTTTACCAAGCATGATGGTCTTCTCCAGCGACTGGTCTCTCCTGATAACATGCCCTGATTATAAGATGAGGTCTCACTGTCCTTCTAAAGAGCACACCTTGCTTCTAAGGTACATTCTGGTTGTATTCTTCTAAGACATGCACCTACTTCTGGCAGACTGAAGTACGCTCAATATTCTTCACCCGCCCCATAACTTGCTGGACTGCAAAGTTGGTTCAATCTGCAAGGTCCTGGTTCAAGCTCACCAGCTGTTCCTTGGAAACCTTATACAGGGTGGCTATGGGTCCTTAACAACAACAACAACAACACCATAATTCAAATTCATCCATTCTTCTCCAGTCTTCCTTATTGACTGGCTGGTTTTCACATGACTAGCCATCAGTAGAAAATATCATGACTTCTTGTTGTTGTGAAGTGCCGTCAAGTCGGTTCCAACCCATAGTGACCCTGTATAGGGTTTCTGAGGAATGCCTGGTGAGCTTCAGCCACCAACCTTGCAATTCAAACAGCTTTGCAGTCTGGTGCATTAACCCACACCAGGAACATGGCTTGGGTTGGACATATCTCAGTCCTAAAGTGACATCTTTGCTTTTTACCACCTTAAAGAGTTCTTTTGCAACAGATTTGCATTCGATTTCTTGACTGCTGCTTCTATGGGCATTGATTGTGGAGTCAAGTAAAATGAAATCCTTGACAACTTCTATCTTTTCTCCATTTATCATAATGTTGTTTATTGGCCCAGCTGTAAAGATTTGTGGTGTCATACATACTGAAAGGTGCAGTCTTTGTTCTTTATTAGTAAGTGCTTCGTGTCCTCTTCATTTTCAACAAGTGGGGCTGTGTCCTCTGTATAACACAGGTTGTTAATGAGCCTTCCTCCAATCCTGATGCTGAGTTCTTCTTCATATACTCCAAATACTGGGGTTGACATATTGTCAGGAGAGACCAGTCACTGGAGAAGGATATCATGTTTGAGAAGGTGGAGGGTCAGAGAAAAAGAGGAAGACCCTCAATGAGAGGGATTGGCAAAGTGGCAGCATCAATGGGCTCAAGCGTGGCAACAACTGTGAGGTTGGCCCAGGACCAGGCAGTGTTTTGTTGTGTTGTGCATAGGGCCGATACTGACTTGATGGTACCTAACAATGACAATGATAACAGTATGGTGAAAGGATACAACCTGACACGTGCATCTCCTGATTTTAAACCATTCAGTATCCTCTTGTCCTGTCTGCACAATGTCTTATTTGCTCATGTACAGGTTCTGCATGAGCACAATTAAGTGTTCTGGAATATTCACTTTTTGCAATGTTGTCCATAGCTTATTATGATCCATATTGTCGAATCCCTTTGCTAGTCAATAAAATACAGGTAACCATCTTTCCCACCAAAATGCATCTGATATCAGCAATTATATCCTTTGTTCCACAGACTCTTCTGAATCCAGCTTAAATTTCTGGCCGCTTCCTGTGGATGAATACTGCTGTAACCATATTTGAGTCATCTTCAGCAAAATTTTACTTAAGTATGTAGCGTAGTGGTTATGAATCGGGCTGCGAGCCGCAAGGTCAACAGTTCGAAACTACCAGCTGTTCTGTGGAAGAAAGATGAGGCTTTCTGCTCCTGTAAAGATTTACAGCCTCAGAAACCCTGTGCAGGGTTGCTATGAGTCGGAACCAACTCCACGGCACATAAAAACAACAACATGATACTAATAATGGTGGTGGTTCTGTGCCGTGGAGTTGGTACCGACTCATAGCAACCCTATACAGGATTTCTGAGACTATAAATATGTACAGGAGCAGAAAGCCTATTTCTCCCACAGAACCACTGGTAGTTTCGAACTGCTGAACTTGGGATTAGCAGCCTGACTCATAAGCAATGTGCTACCAGAGCTCCTTAACATTAAAAATACTGTTTGATAACTTCTGCATTCTATTGGGTCACCTCTCTCTGGAATAGTCACAAATGTATTTTCCAGCCAGTTGCTCAGGAAGATGTCTTCAAATTTCTTGGCATCAACTAGTGAGTATCTCTAGTGCTCACCAAAGTTGAAACATTTCAGTTGGTACTCCATCAATTGCTGAGCTGTGGTTTTCACTAATACCTAATACTTTCAATACCATGGGTTCTTGATCCTATGAAATTGTAAAATGCCAACCAATTCTTTTTTTTAATCTTTTAAGGTT